TCTTCAACCACATTATTGATAAAGGGAACATAAGTGAACAAATAACACAACAATTACATATTTATTTCATTTATTTCATAAACAAAGTTACGCAACACCAAATTCCCCTGTGTGAAAAATTAATTGCCCCCTTACACTCAATAACTGGTTGTGCCACCTTTAGCTGCAATGACTCCAACCAAATGCTTCCTGTAGTTGTTGATCAGTCTCTCACGTCGCTGTGGAGGAATTTTGGCCCACTCTTCCATGCAGAACTGCTTTAACTCAGTGACGTGTGGGTTTTCAAGCATGAACTGCTCGTTTCATGTCCTGCCACAACATCTCAATTGGGATTAGGTCTGGACTTTGACTAGGCCATTCCAAAACTTTCAATTTGTTGCTTTTTAGCAATTTTCATGTAGACTTGATTGTGTGTTTTGGATCATTGTCTTGCTGCATGACCCAGCTGCGCTTCAGCTTCAGCTCACAGACGGATGGTCTGACATTCTCCTGTAGAATTCTCTGATACAGAGCAGAATTCATGGTTCCTTCTATTAAGGCAAGTCGTCCAGGTCCTGAGGCAGCAAAGCATCCCCAAACCATCACACCACCACCACCATGCTTGACCTTTGGTATGATGTTCTTACTGTGGAATGCAGTATTTGGTTTTCGCCAGGCATAATGGGACCCATCTCGTCCAAAAAGTTGACTCAAGTTTGCCAAAAAGCACCTGGATGATCATCAAGACTTTTGGAAGAACGTTCTATGGACAGATGATTCAAAAGTATAACTTTTTGGACGACATGGTTCCAAACTCTGCATTCCACAGTAAGAACATCATACCAAAGGTTAAGCATGGTGGTGGTGTGATGGTTTGGGGATGCTTTGCTGCCTCAGGACCTGGACGACTTGCCTTAATAGAAGGTCAACATACAACACCATTAGTATTAAAGCAGTGATGTGTCAGATAACAACCTTGCCCAACATACATTTACATTTTAGTCATTTAGCAGACACTCTTATCCGGAGCAACTTACAGTTAGTGAGTGCAAGCATTATTTTTACATACTGGCCCCGCGTGGGAATCAAACCCACACTCTACCAACTGAGCTACATCCCTGCCGGCCATTCCCTCCCCTGGGCCAATTGTGCACCGCCCCATGGGTCTCCCGGTCGTGGCCGGCTACAACAGAGCCTGGATTCGAACCAGGATCTCTAGTGGCACAGCTAGCACTGCGATACAGTGCCTTAGACCACTGCCCCACTCGGGAGATATATTTATGTTTGTGTTATGAATGACCAAAGGTTTGTGGCTGATCTTTCAGCGGGAGAGAGGGTGAATGTGTCAAAGACCTGACTGGGCCCAGTACCCCACGGTATGGCTTGTTATATTGTGTCAAAGACATGACTGGGCCCAGTACCCCACGGTATGGCTTGTTATATTGTGTCAAAGACATGACTGGGCCCAGTACCCCATGGTATGGCTTGTTATATTGTGTCAAAGACATGACTGGGCCCAGTACCCCACGGTATGGCTTGTTATATTGTGTCAAAGACATGACTGGGCCCAGTACCCCATGGTATGGCTTGTTATATTGTTGTCAAAGACCTGACTGGGCCCAGCACCCCATGGTATGGCTTGTTATATTGTTCTGCTTGTGTACTGACTGAGGAACATGTAACTTGGTTTCAGAAGAAAGCCACTTTTAATTTCCTTACGTTGGGGGCTGTCATCAAGGTCGTTGGGGGCTGTCATCAAGGTCGTTGGGGGCTGTCATCAAGGTCATTGTAATGTGACTAACATGACTTCTCTTTAGAGCATGTGTCATCCTGCAGCACAACATGTTATAACACACTTATGTACCCTTTATAACGCATGACATACGGTTATAGATGCTTTGTAACACACTTATGAACCATTTATAAAGCATGACATACGATTATAGATGCTTTGTAACACATTTATGAACCCTTATAAAGCATGACATACGATTATAGATGCTTTGTAACACATTTATGAACCCTTTATAAAGCATGACATACAGTTATAGATGCTTTGTAACACACTTATGTACCCTTTATAACGCATGACATACAATTATAGATGCTTTGTAACACATGTATGTAGTGCTTAGGCAGGCATTATGAAGGTTTTATGAAGCCTTTATAAGCTGAACGTCATTTAAAGCGGGGCCGATGTATGGATGACACAATGTATCATAACTAAACTCTCACTACATTTTTTTTTTTTTAATCTGCAATATGTTTTGTCAAATTGTTGTTGTAATATTGTATAGTTTCTAAACTCTAAACTGTAACCTCTGCAGGTTCATGGTTCGGGCGGTGGACCGAGGGACCCCCAGGAGAGAGTCTATAGCTACTGTGGTTATCACTGTGCAGGACCGCAATGACAACAGGTAAGAGACAGGCCAGACACGGAGGAGCTGTCACTTTGTGACAACTGCTGACTTAATTGATTGATTGATTGTTTTTTTCGATTGATTGATTGATTTTATTTCATTTTTTTTACCCAACAAGCCCGCGCTTCATCAATAAAGACTTCACATTCTTCGTGCCAGAGAACTTCCCGGGGTTTGGCGAGATCGGTGTTCTCTCGGTGACAGATGCAGACGCGGGCGAGAACGGCTGGGTGGCGCTCTCCATCCTCAACGGCAGCGACGTCTTTGTGATCGACACGGGCCGCGGCGCTCTAAGGGCCCGGACCCCTCTGGACCGGGAGCAGCAGGGGACGTACTACCTCTGGATCGAGGCGGTCGACGGAGGGGAACCTGCGCTCTCCTGCGTCACCATGGTTACTGTCCTCCTCCTTGACGTGAACGATAACCCTCCCGTGGTCTTGTTCCCCCAGTCTAACCAGTCCTACATGCTGGTGTTACCTAGCACCCTCCCAGGGACCTCCATCACGGAGGTGTACGCCGTGGATAAAGACACAGGGATGAACGCTGTTATCGCCTACAGCATCGTCAAGAGGAAAGGTGGCGAGCCGGGATCGTTCGACATCGACCCGGACACGGGGAATATCACGTTGAAGAGAGAACTGAGCGACCGCGGTCTCTATAGTCTGCTGGTTAAAGTCTCGGACCGTGGTCAGCCTGAACCGCTCCACGCCACGGTCCTGGTCAACCTCTTCGTCAACGAGACGGTTTCTAACGAGAGCTATATCCAGAGTCTTCTCACCAGGGAGGCCGAGATCCAGATCGAGGAGAAGCCGTGGTATGTGGGGAAGCTGACAGAGAGGCCTGGCAGAGAGGAGTTGTTCCCCTGTCGGCCGGTACTCATAGCTCTGTCAGTCACCTGTCTAGGACTACTCAGCATTGTCGTCACATTGACTGCTTATATATGCTGCAAGAAACTGAAGAAGCATCAAATGAAAAGACTAGAGGTTGAGATTCCTTTGAAGATGAACGGTGACTCGCAGGAGGTGGGTAGAAAGCTTATGGAAATCTCCAACATTTGATGACGTTGACATCGCATACGACTTCAAGGCAAAAGACTCCACATCAAAACTGTTCATTGCAACTGTTTATAACAATGTGAAATTGTGAAGTGTAGATTTTCATCCTCAAAAGACACAGCCTGCATCCCAAATAGCACCCTATTCCCTATTTAGTGCACTACTTTTAACCCATAGTAGTGCACTATAACGGAAATAGGGTGCCATTTGTGACACAACCTCATTTTTAAAAACGTTTAAAAAATGACCCTATGTGCTGTATATATTGTAGATAATATGAAATGTTTTATAACTTTATAACAAAATCTTTAAATAGATAAATGGCATTTTTATTTTATTTTTTAATGTAAGCCTGAGAAATTACTCCTTAAACTTACAAATATTATTTTATGATTATGAGCGTGGGGGAAAAGAAAACAACGGGAGAGATTCTATATTTGTTCACCAGGACGTCTGGATCATTGGAAAGGGATGAGGATCAGTGTTGATTGATATAACGATGTTATATTCATACCCTTCGATTGCATTTGGAAAAACTGACACATCAAGTGACACATTTACACAAGTCAATTCTAAAGTTATACATCGTTTAAATACAAATTAGCGACGATCCCGTTGTACTGTAAAGACACACAGAAAACGCGCAGATCTACGTCTCTTTCTCAGAGAGCTTCAGCAGTAAGATTATTTTCAGTTCTGCAGATTACGGAGGTTAAACATGTAAATGCCATCCCACTCTACACACAAGTCGATTCAAATCTGTTCTTTTCCTCAATCTACTGGATTATGTGTGGTGAGATTTTACATGTTTTATTTTGTTGTCATACGGTTTCAAGAAGCCACCAAGCAAACCTTCTACCAGCCTCCTTGCCTGTATCCCAAATGGCACCCTATTGACCTATATAGTGTCCATAGGGGGGCTCTGGTCAAAAGTAGTGCACTATATAGGGAAATAGGGTGTCATTTGGAACGCATCCTTAGCCACCTCACCGTGAACCAAACCCCCTGTGCTCATTGTCTGTCTGTGAAAAGAAATCCTTGATTGAATATTAAAAAAGTGCTTTATTTTCATATTATATTGCATTTTTTGCCTCTGTAATGAAAACGGCCTACACGGAAAGTGCCTTTTATATTAGGATGTAAATTAAAGAAAATGTTTTGATCATAAATAAGAATTTACGCTGGGGGGAAATTAAATGAAACCCCATTTTAACTCCTGAGCTGACAGATATCCAAAATGAAACAGGGCTGTAAGGTTCTGTTGGAATAATATCTTTGATATCTGGTACTTAAGGATCAGGGGTGTGTGTGTGTGTGTCTGTGTCTGTGTGCGTGTGCGTGTGCGTGTGTCTGTGTGCGTGTGTCTGTGTGTGCGTGTGTGTGCGTGTGTGTGTGTGTGCGTGTGTGAGCGTGTGTGTGTGTGTGTGTGTGTGTGCGTGTGCGTGTGTGAGCTTGTGCGTGTGCGTGCGTGTGCGTGTGTGTGTGTCTGTGCGCATGTGTCTGTGTGTGCGTGTGTGAGCGTGTGTGTGTGCGTGTGCGTGTGCGTGCTCATACGTGTGCGTGTGCGTGCGTGTGTGTGTGTGTGTGTGTGTGTTCTCCTTGCCTTTAAGGAACTCCCGACATGTCAACACCCTAGCTATGTGTATATTATATTCTAGCATTGTTCTCTCCTCTCCTTCCTTCTCAGAAAACCAGTCTGGGTTCAGCTCCGACACAAAAACAAACCGTGAGATACAAAAAGTATGCTAAGAAAACAAATACTCCAGTTCAACCACGTGGAGATCCTCTTGACAAGGCTGCTGGGCATTTTACCCGTCTGGAATTATGACTCTTTTGGCAAAGATCTGAAAGGAAATTGTAAAAAAGCAACAGTTGTACGTATATAACAGAGTTGTAACACTGAACAAAAATATGAACCGTAACAGGCAACAATTTCAAAGATTTTAGTTCCAGTTCATATGAGGAAATCAGTCAATTAAAATAAATAAATTAGGCCTTAATCTATGGATTTCACATGACTGGGAATACAGATATGCATCTGGTTACAGATACCTTTAAAAAAAAGGTAGGGGCGTGGATCAGAAAACCAGTCAGTATCTGGTGTGACCACCATTTGCCTCATGCAGCATGACACATCTCCTTTGCATAGAGTTGATCTGGCTGTTGATTGTGGCCTGTGGAATGTTGTCCCACTCGTCTTTAATGGCTGTGCGATGTTGCTGGATATTGGTGGGAACTGGAACACGCTGTCGTACACGTCGATCCAGAGCATCCCAAACATGTTCAATGGGTGACATGTCTGGTGAGTATGCAGGCCATTGAAGAACTGGGACATTTTCAGCTTCCAGGAATTGTGGACAGATCCTTGCGACATGGTGCCATGCATTATCATGTTGAAACATGAGGTGATGGCGGAGGGTGAATGGCACAAAAATGGGCCTCAGGATCTCGTCATGGTGTCTCTGTGCATTCAAATTGCCATTGATAAAATGCACTTGTTTTCGTTGTCTGTAGCTTATGCCTGCCCATACCATAACCCCACCGCCACCATGGGGCACTCTGTTCACAAGGTTGACATCAGCAAACTGCTCGCCCACACGACTCCATACACGCTGTCTGCCATCTGCCCGGTACAGTTGAAACCGGGATTCATCTGTGAAGAGCACACTCCTCCATCGTGGCAATGGCCATCGAAGGTGAGCATTTTCCCACTGTAGTCTGTTACGACGCCGAACTGCAGTCAGGTCGATTCCCTGGTGAGGACGACGAACACGCAGATGAGCTTCCCTGAGGCGGTTTCTGACAGATTGTGCAGAAATTCTTCGGTTGTGCAAACCCATAGTTTCATCAGCTGTCTGGGTGGCTGGTCTCAGACGATCCCGCAGGTGAAGAAGCCGGATGTGGTAGAGAAATTAACAATCAATTCTCTGGCAACAGCTCTGGTGAACATTACTGCAGTCATCATGCCAATTGCACGCTCCCTCAAAACTTGAGGCATCTGTGGCATTGTTTTGTGTGGCAAAACTGCAAATTTTAGAGTGACCTTTTATTGTCCCCAACACAAGGTGCACCTGTGTAATGATCATGCTGTTTCATCAGCTTCTTGATATGCCACACCTGTCAGGTGGATGGATTATCTTGGCAAAGGAGAAATGCTCACTAACAGGGATGTAAACAAATGTGTGCACAACATTTTAGAGAAATCAGCTTTTTGTGTATTTGGAAAATGTCGGGGATCTTTTATTTCAGCTCATGAAACCTGGGACCAACACTTTACATGTTGCATTTATATTTTTGTTTAGTACATGTGTGCATTGAGTAAGTTTAACATTGTACTTTATAGATCTCAGTGGGGTTATTTTGAACTTAATGGGTCTCACATTTAGAATGCACCAGATAAGGGAAACAGTTGTAAAGTGTAATCCTACTATGCCTACACTATACCACTATATCAATATAGTTACCATTAAGATACAGAATAATCCCACTATACCTGTCAATATAGTTACCATTATGATACAGAATAATCCCACTATACCTGTCAATATAGTTACCATTAAGATACAGAATAATCCCACTATACCTGTCAATATAGTTACCATTAAAATACAGAATAATCCCACTATACCTGTCAATATAGTTGCCATTAAGATACAGAATAATCCCACTATACCTTGTCAATATAGTTACCATTAAGATACAGAATAATCCCACTATATCTGTCAATATAGTTACCATTATGATACAGAATAATCCCACTATACCTGTCAATATAGTTACCATTAAGATACAGAATAATCCCACTATACCTGTCAATATAGTTACCATTAAGATACAGAATAATCCCACTATACCTGTCAATATAGTTACCATTAAGATACAGAATAATCCCACTATATCTGTCAATATAGTTACCATTATGATACAGAATAATCCCACTATACCTGTCAATATAGTTACCATTAAGATACAGAATAATCCCACTATACCTTGTCAATATAGTTACCATTAAGATACAGAATAATCCCACTATATCTGTTAATATAGTTACCATTAAGATACAGAATAATCCCACTATATCTGTCAATATAGTTACCATTAAGATACAGAATAATCCCACTATATCTGTCAATATAGTTACCATTAAGATACAGAATAATCCCACTATACCTTGTCAATATAGTTACCATTAAGATACAGAATAATCCCACTATACCTGTCAATATAGTTACCATTAAAATACAGAATAATCCCACTATACCTGTTAATATAGTTACCATTAAGATACAGAATAATCCCACTATACCTGTCAATATAGTTACCATTAAAATACAGAATAATCCCACTATACCTGTCAATATAGTTACCATTAAGATACAGAATAATCCCACTATACCTGTCAATATAGTTACCATTAAAATACAGAATAATCCCACCATACCTGTCAATATAGTTACCATTATGATACAGAATAATCCCACTATACCTGTCAATATAGTTACCATTAAAATAGAGAATAATCCCACTATACCTGTCAATATAGTTACCATTAAGATACAGAATAATCCCACTATACCTGTCAATATAGTTACCATTAAAATACAGAATAATCCCACTATACCTGTCAATATAGTTACCATTAAGATACAGAATAATCCCACTATACCTGTCAATATAGTTACCATTAAAATACAGAATAATCCCACTATACCTGTCAATATAGTTACCATTAAAATACAGAATAATCCCACTATACCTGTCAATATAGTTACCATTAAGATACAGAATAATCCCACTATATCTGTCAATATAGTTACCATTAAGATACAGAATAATCCCACTATACCTTGTCAATATAGTTACCATTAAGATACAGAATAATCCCACTATACCTGTCAATATAGTTACCATTAAAATACAGAATAATCCCACTATACCTGTTAATATAGTTACCATTAAGATACAGAATAATGGCGCTGTTGGAAGCCAAGGATGTAGCACGC